CATCTTGATTCTGCCTCTCTGCATAAATGCGACCCTGAAACCTTACAGTCAATATCCACAGCCCTTCCCATTGTTCATTACCACTGTATTAAGGTTTCTAAAGCATATCTGTGTGCAAATATTTACATATAATCTATTCAATTATGGAATTCCAGATCGAACTTTTTTTTTTTTAAAAAGACCAGTTGTGCCAATGATTTTTACTAATACACACACATATATAATTTTGCACACATCAAAATGATCTTTAAATAATTTTCTATACAATTGACCCTTGAGCAACATGAGTTGAAACTGAGCAGGTTCACTTATACACAGATGTCAGTGAATTCACTTAATAAATACATGAAAAATTTGGGGAGATTGGTGACAATTTGAAAAAATTCACAGATGAACTGCATAGCCTAAAAAAATTGGAAGAAAGTGTATATCATGAGTGATTAAATTATATGTAGATACCAGTCTATTTTAATCATTTACTACCATGAAATACACACAAATATATTATAAAAAATTAAAACTTATTAAAATGTACATAAACACAGATTGTATGTGGCGCCATTTGTAGTCGGGAGAAATGTAAACAAGCATAAAGATGCAGTATTAACCCATGATTGCATAAAGGTAACTGCTGTGCACACACTGTGCCATGGTAATGCTTTCCCAGCTGCCTCTTGCTGCTGTCTCAGCACAGATGCAGTGCACACCTGTGCAAGTGCTGTGACATGGGTCACCTCCATACGAGCACTTGGTCTCTCCACTGAAGCTGCGTATCATAGTGGAAAGTGATCTCTTGCAGTTCTCATATATTTTCCATAATGTTCAGTGCAATACCATAAGCTTATCTATGGTATTCATATGGTATTCATATCTATGGTATTCATAGAACCCATGAAGTACCACTAATGATGCTGAAAGTGCACCTAGGAAATAAGTCATGATGTTCCAAGGAAAAACAGAATTACTTGGTATGTACTATAGACTGAGGTCTGCAACTGAAGTTGCCACCATTTCAAGATGTATGAACCCAACCATTGTAAAAAAGTGAAACAAAAGGAAATTTGTGAAGCCATCACTTTGGCTATACTAGCATGCACGAAAACCTTTCACTTAAGTCCAATACCCTTTTTACCTTGCATTGAAATTGCAGCCTTAATGTGAGTGCAGGTTTGCTATCAGAAAGACATACCTTAGACTCTAGTATGATTCAAGAAAATGTGAGGTTATTATATGACAACTTAAAGCAAAAGGAAGGTGAGGGACCTGAATTGGAGAATTTACTGCCTGCAAAGGGTGGTTTGATAATTTTAAAAAGAGGTTGGGTTTAAGAAATGTCAAGATAACAGCAGCTTCTGCTGACCAAAGAGCAGGAGATGAGCTCCCAGATGCCATTAAGAAAGTCACTGAGGAGAAAGGATGCCTGCCTGAACAGATTTTTAATGCAGATGAAGATGTCCTATTCTGGATAAAAAAAATTCTGCAAAAGATATTTGTTAGTAAAAAAAAGAAATGAGTACCAGGATTTAAGGCCGGAAGGGCTAGGCTAACTGTTTGATTTTGTGCAAATGCAGCTGGATGTATGATCAGGACTGCCCTTATCCATAAAGCTGCTAACGCGCAAGCTTTGAAGGGAAAAGATGAACAGCAGCTGCCAGTCTTTTGGCTGTACTATATGAAGAAGGCCTGGACAGCAAGAATTCTTTTACTGGATTGGTTTCATCAGAGCTTTGTCCTTGGAGTCAGGAAGTACCTCACCAGCAAGGGACTATCTTTTAAAGTTCTTCTGAGATTAGAAATGACCTGGCCCCCAGAATCCCACGAGTTCAGCACTGAAGGTGCCAAAGTGGTCTACTTGCCTTCCAAACGCATCTTCTCTAATTCAGTCTCTGAATTGCTTGGAGAAACATCAATAACCTCAGATATGCAGATGACACCACCCTTATGGCAGAAAGTGAAGAGGAACTAAAGAGCCTCTTGATGAAAGTGAAAGAGGAGAGTGAAAAAGCTGGCTTATAACTCAACATTCAGAAAACGAAGATCATGGCATCTGGTCCCCTTCACTTCATGGCAAGTAGATGAGGATACAGTGGAAACAGTGACAGACTTTATTTTGGGGGGGGCTCCAAAATCACTGCAGATGGTGATTGCAGCCATGAAATTAAAAGACACTTGCTCCTTGGAAAAAAAGCTATGACCAACCTGAACAGAATATTAAAAAGCAGAGACGTTACTTTGCTTACAAAGGTCCATCTAGTCAAAGCTATGGCTTTTCTGGTAGTCATGTCTGGATGTGAGAGCTGGACCATAAAGAAAGCTGAGCAGCATAGAATTGATGCTTCTGAACTGTGGTGTTGGAGAACTCTTGAGAGTCCCTTGGACTGTACTCAATCCTAAAGGAAATCAACACTGAATATTCATTGGAAGGACTGATGCTGAAGCTGAAGCTCCAGTCCTTTGGCCACATGATTAAAAACCTGACTCACTACAAAAGACCCTGATGCTGGGAAAGATTGAAGGCAGGAGGAGAAGGGGACAACAGAGGATGAGATGGTTGGATGGTATCACCGACTCAATGGACATGAGTTTGAGCAAACTCGGAGTTGGTGATGGGCAGGGAGGCTTGGTGTGCTACAGTCCATGGGATTGCAAAGAGTCAGACATGACTGACTGACTGAACTGAACGGAATTCAGTCTGTAGATCAGGGATCATAGGACTTTTAAGGCTCATTACACATGGATAGAATTGTCAGCACTCTAGAAGAGAACCCTGATAGAACATTGTGAAAGTCTGGAAGGACTGATTACACCATTGAAGATACCATTGTTGTTACAGAAAAATCTATGAAGGCCATCAAGCCTGAAATAATAAATCCCTGCTAGAGAAAACTGACCAGATGTGCATGACTTCACAGGACTTAAAATGGAGCCAGTCGAGGACATCATGAAAGAGATTGTGGATATGGCAAAAAGGGTAGCAGGTGATGAGCTTCCAGACCTTGGAGAAATTCAAGACAGCACACCAGAGGAGTTAACAGATGACTGCTTCTGAATCAGGACCAGATGATGAGGAAGATGTAGAAGCAGCAGTGCCAGAAAACAAACTGACATCAGACAATCTGGCAGAAGGTTTCAGATTACTCAAGCCTGGTTTTGACTTTTTACATCATGGACTCTTCTATGATGGGGCACTGAAACCGAAGCAAATGGTGGAAGAAGTGTTAGTATCATGAAGAGAAATGAGGATGCAAAAAAGTCAGGCAAAAACAAAAATGCATTTCTATAAAGTGACACCAAGTGAGCCTGCCTGTCCTGTCTCCCCTTCCACCTCCTCCACCTCCTCTGCCTCTGCCACCCATAAGAAAGTCCAACCCTTTCTCCTCCTCCTCGCTGAGTCAAAGTGAAGCTAATGAGGATGAAAACCTTGATGATGACCCACTTCTACTCAATGAATAGTAAATAATCATCATGCCATACAGTTCATAAATGTATTTGTTGTGCATTATGTGGATATCCTCGTGTGAAAGTCTAATACTTGCATTAGAGTACTGTATGACACTTTATGTCCTCATCATTAGTGCCCAGGTATTCATCATGTAGAACATCATGTGCAAGACCTATATTGAAGTGAATAGACTAGCCTTACATAGGCAAAAGGGGAGTGATAGTTAACACAAGATTAATAATGTGTTAGTTTTCTTACTGTCTTATAACTTTGCTTTCAAAGAATTATATTAAGTACAGTGCCTCTCTCTCATAATTGGGGAAACTGCATATCAGCCTATCATCACAGGTAAGGGGTTTTAAAAAACATAACAGTGTCTCCCATTCTGTCTCATGAATGTGACCATAATATTCTATGCCATAAAAACGTTACAATGATTTATCCATTAGCGTAGAGGCTGGGCTACTGTGAGCAATCATGTCCATCACACTAGGCAGCCATGTTACTGTTCATGAAACATGAGTTTTGTTTTCACATTATCTTTTCATATTTGATGTCTAGTGTTAGTAATACATGTGACATCTACAGTATTTTGTATCATAGAAGATGAAATTGCTATAGGTAGTGACAGATGATTCATCTTAAAAGCAAATCACAAACTTACAGCATTGCTGTATATATACAGTACAGTACTGTAAATATTTTTTCCTTTTATGATTTGCTTAAAGACATTTTCTTTTCTCTGGCTTATTTTATTATAAAAATATAGTATATAATACATAATAACATATGTGATATGTGTTAGTCAACTGTTTACATTATCAGTAAGGCTTCCAGTTAACAGTAGGCTACAAGTCATTAAATTTTAGGGGAGTCAAAAGTTACATGTGGATTTTTGACTGCACAAGGGGTTGGAGCTCCAAACCCCTATGTTGTTCAAGGTCAGCTGTACTCTTGTTTGATTAGACTCTTCACTCTTGCTGTGTCTTTCTTGGCGACACTGTTGGCAGCCCCATTCAGGGCCCCGAATGGAGGCAGCAGGCATAGAGACCTGTGACTTGTTGCTGGATGGATCTGCTGCATTGCAAAACCTCAGGCTGTGAAGTGGAGATGGAGCATGCACCTTTAAAAACTATCAGGAGGATTAAATAAGATGTTGTCTCTTTGAAGTCTTTATTCCTTGTCTGGCATGTAGGAAGATGTGCATGTAGAAGTAACTAGGATTTAATTCCAGATCCTACATACCCCAGGGCACTCGGGCTGACCAGATCCTAGAAAAGAAATGCCCTGAATGCTTGCTGGAGGGACTCCAGCTAGCCAATCAGATTTAAGGGCGGAGGTTTGTCAAATAAGTATAAGAATCCCCAGTGTTCTTACTTTTGGATTACTTCGTTTTATAATCAACTCTGGGAGCTGAGTTTGTTAGCATTTTTATCAAAAGGACCACAGAAAACACATGTCATGATATGAGAAAGTAGAAAATTCTGTATAATGTTGCATTTATTTGAACAGAAGTGTAGGCACTTTTCTGAAGCAGCCATTCTTTATTATCTTACAGACAAATCCAAAGCAGCTGGCAGACTTACTGTGGTGGCCAAGAAAAGGGTAAGATAAGATTTTTATTAAATATACAGATTTCAAATTCAACCTGATTAATACAATTTTAAAAGAAAATGAATATTCTAAATCAAAATGACATAATTAGTTTTTTTTTCTTCTGAATGTTAGGTTGACACTAGGAATTTAGTATTTATATTTAATATGAATGGCTAATATTTTAATTTTTATGGTTAATTTAATATTTATGTTACTTATATCAGTGTAATAGAATTATCAGATATTAGAATAATGGAAAATTTTAAGTTAAGAAATAAACAATTGCTTTTATTGTGCATACTCATATTTTAATATTTCTCATACTAAAATATTTTGTCATGTTATTATCTGTGTAATTTTCATAGGAAATTGAAATAATTAAAATTCACAGCTTATTGTGGACTTTACCTTAAAGTTAAGTAAATAACAGCATCAGACATTTGTTTGAATCTTTTTAAAGAAAACTTGTAAAGTTAATAGCATTTTAAAGCCATTTTTAAAATGTAATGTCATTCTGTACATTGTGTGCAGAGAGATATTTAACTCTTCAGTTCAGTTCAGTTCAGTTCAGTTCAGTCATTCAGTCGTGTCCAACTCTTTGCGACCCCATGAATCGCAGCATGCCAGGCCTCCCTGTCCATCACCAACTCCCGGAGTTTATTCAAACTCATGCCCATCGAGTCGGTGATGCCATCCAGCCGTCTCATCCTCTGTCGTCTCCTTCTCCTCCTGCCCTCAATCCCTCCCAGCATCAGGGTCTTTTCCAATGAGTCAACTCTTCTCATGAGGTGGCCAAAGTATTGGAGTTTCAGCTTTAGCGTCAGTCCTTCCAATGGACACCCATGACTGATCTCCTTTAGGATGGACTGGCTGGATCTCCTTGCAATCCAAGGGACTCTCAAGAGTCTTCTCCAACACCATAGTTCAAAAGCATCAATTTTTTGGCACTCAGCTTTCTTCACAGTCCAACTCTCACATCCATACATGACCACTGGAAAAATCATAGCCTTGATAAGACGGACTTTTGTTGGCAAAGTAATATCTCTGCTTTTTAATATGCTGTCTAGGTTGGTCATAACTTTCCTTCCAAGGAGTAAGTTTCTTTTAATTTCATGGCTGCAATCACGATCTGCAGGGATTTTGGAGCCCCAAAAAATAAAGTCTGACACTGTTTCCACTGTCTCCCCATCTATTTGCCATGAAGTGATAGGACCAGATGCCATGATCTTAGTTTTCTGAATGTTGAGCTTTAAGCCAACTTTTTCACTCTCCTCTTTCACTTTCATCAAGAGGCTTTTTAGTTCCTCTTAACTTTCCGCCATAAGGGTGGTGTCATCTGCATATCTGAGGTTATTATTTCTCCCAGCAATCTTTATTCCAGCTTGTGCTTCTTCCAGCCCAGCGTTTCTCATGATGTACTCTACACATAAGTTAAACAAGCAGGGTGACATTATACAGCCTTGACGGACTCCTTTTCCTAATGGGAACCAGTCTGTTGTTCCATGTCCAGTTCTAACTGTTGTTTCCTGACCTGCATATAGGTTTCTCAAGAGGCAGGTCAAGTGGTCTGGTATTCCCATCTCTTTCAGAATTTTCCACAGTTTATTGTGATCTACACAGTCAAAGGCTTTGGCATAGTCAATAAAGCAGAAATAGATGTTTTTCTGGAACTCTCTTGCTTTTTCGATGATCCAGCGGATGTTGGCAATTTGATCCCTGGTTCCTCTGCCTTTTCTAAAACCAGCTTGAACATCTGGAAGTTCATGGTTTGCATATTGCTGAAGCCTTGCTTGGAGAATTTTGAGCATTACTTTACTAACATGTGAGATGAGTGCAATTGTGCGGTAGTTTGAGCATTCTTTGGGATTGCCTTTCTTTGGAATTGGAATGAAAACACCTTTTCCAGTGCTGTAGCCACTGCTGAGTTTTCCAAATTTGCTGGCATATTGTGTGCAGCACTTTCACAGCATCATCTTTCAGGATTTGAAATAGCTCAGCTGGAATTCCATCACCTCAACCAGCATTGTTCATAGTGATGATTTCTAAGGCCCACTTGACTTCACATTCCAGGATGTCTGGTTCTAGGTGAGTGATCACACCATCATGTTTATCTGGGTCGTGAAGATCTTTTTTGTACAGTTCTTCTGTGTATTCTTGCCACCTCTTCTTAATACCTTCTGCTTCTGTTAGGTCCATACCATTACTGTCCTTTATTGAACTCATCTTTGCATGAAATATTCCCTTGGTATCTCTAATTTTCTTGAAGAGATCCCTAGTCTTTCCCATTCTGTTGTTTTCTTCCATTTCTTTGCATTGATCGCTGAGGAAGGCTTTGTTATCTCTCCTTGCTATTCTTTGGAACTCTTCATTCAAATGGGAATATCTTTCCCTTTTTCCTTTGCTTTTCTCTTTTCTTTTGTTCACAGCTTTTTGTAAGGCCTCCTCAGACAACCATTTTGCCCTTTTGCATTTCTTTTCCATGGGAATGGTCTTGATCTCTGTCTCCTGTACAGTGTCACAAACCTCCATCCATAGTTCATCAGGCACTCTGTCTATCAGATCTAGTCCCTTAAATCTATTTCTCACTTCCACTGTATAGTCATAGGGACTTGATTTAGGTCATACATGAATGGTCTAGTGGTTTTCCCTACTTTCTTCAGTTTAAGTCTGACTTTGGCAATAAGGAGTTCATGATCTGAGCCACAGTCAGGTCCCGGTCTTGTTTTTGCTGACTGTATAGAGCTTCTCCATCTTTGGCTGCAAAGAATATAATCAGTATGATTTCGGTGTTGGCCATCTGGTGATGTCCATGTGTAGAGTCTTCTCTTGTGTTGTTGGAAGAGGGTGTTTGCTATGACCAGTGCGCTCTCTTGGCAAAATTCTATGAGCCTTTGCCCTGCTTCATTCTGTACTGCAAGGCCAAATTTGCCTGTTACTCCAGGTGTTTCTTGACTTCCTACTTTTGCATTCCAGTCCCCTATAATGAAAAGGACATCTTTTCGGGATGTTAGTTCTAAAAGGTCGTGTAGGTCTTCATAGCACCGTTCAACTTCAGCTTCTTCAGCGTTACTGGTTGGGGCATAGGGTTGGATTACCATGATATTGAATGGTTTGCCTTGGAAACAAACAGAGCTCATTCTGTCATTTTTGAGATTGCATCAAAGTACTGCATTTCAGACTCTTTTCTTGACTATGATGGCTACTCCATTTCTTCTAAGGGATTCCTGCCCACAGTAGTAGATATAATGGTCATCTGAGTTAAATTCACCCATTCCAGTCCATTTTAGTTCACTGATTCCTAGAATGTCGACATTCACTCTTGCCATCTCCTGTTTGACCACTTCCAATTTGCCTTGATTCATGGACCTAACATTCCAGGTTCCTATGCAATATTGCTCTTTACAGCATTGGACCTTGCTTCTATCACCAGTCCCATCCACAGCAGGGTATTGTTTTTGCTTTGGCTCCATCCCTTCATTCTTTCTGGAGTTATTTCTCCACTGATCTCCAGTAGCATATTGGGCACCTACTGACCTGGCGAGTTCCTCTTTCAGTATCCTATCATTTTGCCTTTTCATACTGTTCATGGGGTTCTCAAGGCAAGAATACTGAAGTGGTTTGCCATTCCCTTCTCCAGTGGACCACATTCTGTCTGACCTCTCCACCATGACCCGTCTGTCTTGGGTGACCCCACGCAGCATGGCTTAGTTTCATTGAGTTAGACAAGACTGTGGTCCTGTGATCAAGTTGGCTAGTTTTCTGTGATTATGGTTTTAGTGTGTCTGCCCTCTGATGCCCTCTGGCAATACTTACTGCCTTACTTGGGTTTCTTTTACCTTGAACGTGGGGTATCTCTTCACGGCTGCTCCAGCAAAGCGCAGCCGCTGCTCCTTACGTTGGACGAGGGGTATCTCCTCATGGCCGCCCCCCCTGACCTTGAACGTGGAATAGCTCTTCTCGGCCCTCCTGCGCCAGCGCAGCCGCCTTTCCTTGGAGGTGGGGTTGCTCCTTTCGGCCGCAGCCCCTGACCTTGGGCGTGTGGTAGCTTGTCTCGGCCACTGCCCCTGGCCTCGAACGTGGGGTAGCTCCTCTCAGCCGCTGCCCCTGACCCTGACCTAGGACACCACTAGAAAAGAAAAGGAGTCAGTGCTTTAAAACAAACTCTTCTGGACAAGAAATGTATGGCGTCATAAGCCAATGGGCCATGACTGAAAGCAAAGCCCATCCTTGTGGTCCTTCTTGTGTTGAGTTATGGGGCGGGCACAGGGTGAACTCTCAGAAGGTCAAGTGTGACATGGGGAAACAGGAAAGGCTGATGGGCAGGAACCTCCACTTGGACAGGCAATGAGAGGAGCATCATTTTTGTGTTCCATGTATGTATATTTTTATGAGTCCTTTTAAAGTCAAGTTTTGTTTTTATCCTTTTGCTTTTTGCTTGTAAAAGGAATCTGGACTTTTCACTATGTAAATAGTGTAGATGCACCTTTGCAAAGAGAAATGCAACATCAGAAGACAAGGTTGCCCTTTAAAAAAGGAACAAGCTAGGACTTGTGCGCATGTCTGAAGATTTAGACAGGAGTATGTGAAGTAGTGCAGGGTTGTTTATGTGGATGGTATTGTTTATTTCAGTCTCTACTAGAGGATATTTAGTGTAAAAATTATAAAGGTAATATTAACTACTATTCTTATGTATTGCTTTATTTTTACTAGTGATTTTCAACAGAGGTGGTACTGTCTCTAGGTCAATGCTATTCAAAATGTGGCCCACTAACCAGAACTGGTATGTGAACTATTTATTTATTGGCCTGCAATGAAATAAGAGCAAAAATTGACAGTAACCATTTAGACACTTGCATGGTAATTTTTATCTGTCAAATGCAATAAAATGGAACTTATATTCTGTATGTTTTTATTTTTTGTTTAATTTTCCCCTAGTGACTCATTTTTTTTTAATAAAAGTATAGATATTGGACGGATTATGGAGTTGGGGAAGGTAACTGGCTTTTTAC